AAAAAACCTCCAGAAAAAATATGCGATAGCACCCACCGCGGGCCGACGTGACCGGCGGGGGTGCGAGCCGCTGGGCAGTGCAAGCGAGGCACTAGTGACACCGGGGGCACCTGGCGCGCGGCCGCAAAGGCGGCGGCCGCAAACACGCCCGGAGGGGGGGCCCATTTTCGACCGGTGCGGTGGTGCATGTGGCATACAAGGCAGGAGAGAAGGGGGGGAGAGAGAGCGCAGGCAAGCAAGCAGCAGTACAAACGCGCGCACGCACAATGCAGGTTTACACAAGCGCGCAGTCCCACAGCCGACGCATGGCTGCGCCGCGGGGCTTGGGCGGTGGCAACGCTGAGGCAGCGCGCGGCGCGGCTGCGGGGGGCCCATTAGCGCGGGTTTTTGGCGCGCCCCTTATCCGCAGCGGCGCCGCGCGCCGCGCACAAACCGAAAACGCGCCGCTCCAAATCGCGCCCCAGCGGCAGCTGCCCCGGGGCCGCGGTGCTGCCGCCAATCAAAAGCAGCGCCGGCGCGTCTGCGCGCGCGCGCGCAGCCGAGGCGCGCGCGCGCGCGCAGTGCCTTGCGCCGCCAGCAGTTCGCACATCTAAACACCGCCGCCGCCGCCGTCTCAGAGAAGAAACGTCGCCTCCAGCCGCTCCTCCGCCGCGCTCCAGCGTAGAAAGGGGTGGTCCTCGGGGACCTGGGCAGCCCACGCGGTGCCGAGGCCCAGCGCACAGTACTCGCGCAGCCTGGACTCGAAGGGCGGCGCCGGCAAAGTCGAGATGTCCATCATAATCCGCCTAGGGCTGCTGCCTTGGCATCGCCAAGGCCGCGTGGCCCAATGGATAAGGCGTCGGTCTACGGAACCGAAGATTCCAGGTTCGATCCCTGGCGTGGTCAACTTTTGCTTTATTGACATTGTGTTTCTTTTTTGCTTTGGACGCTGCAGCACTCCCCTGGCTGGCCTTTGAGCTGCAATGGCTGTATTTTTCGTTTGGACCCTGCAGCAGTCTCCTGCCCCGCTTTCGCACTGGCCTTTGGTGCCGCTGCCTGCCCCCCAAACATATCCGCGCGCTCGCCCCTTGGTGTCAAAAGCATGGCCACTGTGATGCTGCTGCTGTTTACCGCCGCAAGCAACTAACGATGAAGAGGCAAACGCAGGCAGCTATCGGCCAAGCGCACGGGCATGCCGCTCAGCAGCCGCCGCGCAGGCGCAGCACCAGGTGGAGGGTGGACTCCTTCTGGATGTTGTAGTCAGCCAGGGTGCGGCCGTCCTCCAGCTGCTTGCCGGCAAAGATCAGGCGCTGCTGGTCCGGGGGGATGCCTGGGGGGTGGGTGGGTTTGGGGGGGTTGGGGCGCGCAGCGGGTGAGTGGCGGGCCAAGCGCTGGGACGAGAGTTTCATGGAGCAGGCAGCCAAGAGCTCCCGCATGCATGCACCATCGCGCTTTGTGCGCGACTGCTGTGCTGCAGCAGCAACAACTGCACGGGCGCTGGCTGGCTGTGCTGCACTGCGTGCTGTACGCTGCCCAGCGGCCGCTCTCCAACCCGCCGCAAAGCGTGCCAGCCAAGCCCCCCAAAGCCCCGCCCCTGCGGGCGCACTCACCCTCCTTGTCCTGGATCTTGGACTTGACGTTCTCGATGGTGTCGCTGGACTCCACCTCGAGGGTGATGGTCTTGCCCGTGAGGGTCTTGACAAAGATCTGCATGCCGCCGCGCAGGCGCAGCACCAGGTGGAGGGTGGACTCCTTCTGGATGTTGTAGTCAGCCAGGGTGCGGCCGTCCTCCAGCTGCTTGCCGGCAAAGATCAGGCGCTGCTGGTCCGGGGGGATGCCGGGGGGGTGGGGGGGTTTGGGGGGGTTGGGGCGCGCAGCGGGTGAGCGGCGGGGCGAGTGCTGGGGCGAGAGTTTCATGGAGCGGGCAGCCAAGACCTCCCGCATGCATGCGCCATCGCGCTTTGTGCGCGACCGCTGTATTGCAGCAGCAACAACTGCACGGGCGCTGGCTGCGCTGCACTGCGTGCTGTACGCTGCCCAGCGGCCGCTCTCCAACCCGCCGCAAAGCGTGCCAGCCAAGCCCCCCAAAGCCCCGCCCCTGCGTGCGCACTCACCCTCCTTGTCCTGGATCTTGGACTTGACGTTCTCGATGGTGTCGCTGGACTCCACCTCGAGGGTGATGGTCTTGCCCGTGAGGGTCTTGACAAAGATCTGCATGGTTGCTGCGGCCTGCGAGGGACGGGTTGCGGGCGCGGCGCGCGCAGCGTAAGCAGGGGGGAGGCGAGAGAGCCTGGAGCGTCCAGCGCGCGCCCAGGAGGGTTTAGAACGGGCTGCTGACGCGCATAGGGGTGGCGCGGGGGCCGGAGGGGCCGCGGCCGGGCTGGGCGGGAGCCCGCGTTCGAGAGCGATCGCAACGAGGCGTTGTTGCGCCAGCATCGCGGAGGCCGCCCCAGCGCCCCTCTACGGAGCCAAAGCAGCCCCAGGACGCCGCTGGGGCGGCGCGGGGCCCGTCCCACGGCTCGTGCAGGCCGGGGCGAGGCAGCCCCGCGCGAGGGTGCCACGCATGCGTAGCGCTGCGCCGCCCCAGAGCCCGCCGGGAAGCCGGGCTTCAACGGGGAGCCCGCGGGGGCCGCTGGCGCGGCGGTAGGGGAGCGCGCGGACCCCCCGCAAGCGCGACGCGTCCCCTCCACGCACCTCTGTGGGCAGCGACTGGCTGGAAGGGGCTGTTTCCTGGTCGTATGGACGTCCACGTCGTCCTCGGGCTTGGCGAAGTGTGGAGGAAGAGGTGGCGGGCCGCGGCTTTTCAACGCGGCGTCAAGGTCGTCGCAGGTGGAAGCTGCGTGGCCCCCATGCGCTGCATGCGTGTCCGCAACGCGCTTTCCAGGACCTGGGAGGACCTCCCTTCAGACCCCAACATCCATGCACCCAGGGCCTCCTGGGCATGCATGCGCGCCCAGCGAATGGTGCGCCAGGTTGCATGCGCCGTACCGCTGCTGTGCACGCTGCGCCACCCAGTCGATCAGCTTCGGCGCACGCTCACAGCCCGCTCAACGCTTTGCCCATGCGCATGCAGGCCGCAGCTGCGGCCCCCCAGAGGGCCCGGCCCTCGGAAAAACAGAGGGCTCGTTACTCGCCGGCGCTCGCCCGCCAAAACGAGGATCAAAACGCGCGCGCGCACCAAGCGCAGCGCGCGCCGGCGCCGACAGCGGCACCGGCGGTAGCGGTGCGGGCAAAGGGAGGGAGGTCGAGGGCGTTTTCGGACAGGGGGCTGCCCCGCGCGCTCAGCGCAGCGCGGCCTGCGCCGTCGCCGTTGCGACGGCGGCAGCTGCAGCCGGCCCACGCGCGCGGGGCGCGCTCGCACAAAATCGTCGGTCGGTCGCGGGGGGCAGTAAGCAAACGGCGGTCGGTCGCATCGACACCGCGCGCGGCATTAACGGAAACGGGCGTGAGGGGCAGCCAAAAGCGTGCACTTGTCCGCGCAGCCTTGTGCAAACAACAAATGCGGGCCAGACACTTGAGCAGTTGGAGCAGCAGCAAAAGCAGCCGGCAGCGGCAGCGGCAGCAGAAGCAGCCGGCAGCGGCAGCAGAAGCGGCGCGGCTGTCAGCCCGGCGCCGCGGCGTCCGGCGGGGCGTCCACGGGCGCCCGCGGCTCCTCAGCTGCCGCCGCCGCCGCCGCCGCCGGTGCCACCGCTGGTGCCGCTGCTGGTGCCGCCGCTCCCGCCGCCCCGCCGTTGGCGGGCTGCGCGTCGGGCGCCGCCGGCGCAGCAGCATCCGCCGGCGCCGCCGCCGGCGCCGACGGTGCGGCGCCGGCAGGCTTCGCCGCGGCCGCCGGCGCGAGGCGCACGCCCGGCGGCAGCGCCATCCTCGGAGGCGCGCCCGGCACGATGCCTTTGGCCGCCGCGGCCGCGGCCGCCGCGAGGGCCGCGCTGGTGAGCACCATCGTCGGCTTGCCGCCCGGCCCCGTGACCAGCCCGGAAAACCCGGCCGGCAGCGGCGGCAGCACGGCGGGCCGCACGGGCGCGCCGGCGCCGGGCGCGCCGCCGGGGGGCGCGGCGAGCTTTATCAGCACCGGCGGGCCGGTGCCGCCGGGGCCCGACGGGAGCTTCACGACCGCGCCGCCGCCGCCCGCGCCGCCCGCGCCACCCGGCTGCGCAGCCATCGGCTTGCCCCGCCCCGCGGCGGCGGCGGCGGCCTGCGCCTGCTGCAGCGCCCCGGCCGGCAGGAGGATGGGCGTCAGCTTGGGCCGCGCCGCGGCGGCGGCGGCGGCGGCGGCGGCCGAGCCGGCCGCGGCGCCGCCGCCCGCCTGCGCCGCGCCCGCGGCTGCGCCGGCGCGGCTCGCGCGCAGCGCGGCGAGCGCGGTGGCGCTGACCAGCACGGGTTTGACTTTGCCGTCTGGCCCCGTCGCCATCACAACCACCATCCCGCCCGGCAGCCCCGTCCCGGGAAGCCCCGCCGGCCTGGCCCCCGCAGCGCCGGCCAGCCGCACCGCCGCGGCCACGCCGGCCGCGGCGCTCCCGGGAACAACGAGCTTGGCGCCCGGCGCGCCGGGCGCCGCGCCGGCGCCGGCCGCGCCCGCGGCGCCGCCCGCCGCCGCGGCCCCGCCGCCCTCCCCGCCCGCCGCCGCGCCCTCCGCCGCGCCCTCGCCGCCGCCCGCGCCGCCGCCGCCCTCCTCGCCGCCGCCATCGCCGCCGGCGCCGCCGCCGCCGCCGCCCTCCCGCCAGAGCTCGCGGGGCCGCTGCATGTCGTTTTTGGCGAAGTAGAGGCCGCAGGCGTTGCACAGGGGCTTGCCGTCGTTCTTGTCCTTGCGCCAGAACGGCGTGCTGCGGGTGCCGCAGTTCTTGCAGGTCTGTTTTGTGGGGTTTTGGGGAGGGGGCGGCCGTTGCGTTAAGAGGCGGTCAGAGCGGGCGGCGCCGCACGGGAGCGCCATCCCGCACCGCCATGCGGGGTTTGACCGCGGCGGCGGCGTCCATGCAAGCGCCTCATGCACGACCGCGTGTCATGCATGCGCGCCGGCGCGCCTTGCCCGCGGGCCCCTTCCAAAGCGACCCCAGTGCCCGAGGCGCACGCGCGCGCGCGCGTTGTGTGCATCCACAGGGCGCGCGCGCGGCTGGGGGCACCTACCCTCACCTTTTGCTCCTTCACGGGCTTCTTGCTGCGCTTTGCGGCGGCCGCCGATTTGCCTTGCTCCGCTGCCTCCTCCCCGCCGCCGCCCGCCGCCGCCGCCGCCGCCGCGCCGCCGCCGCCGCCGTCGGCCGCGGCGTCGCTGGCCGCGGGCTCCGGCGCGGCGCCGTCGGCGCCGTTTGCGGCCGCGGCGGCGGGCGGCTCGGCGGGCGCGGCGTCGAAGCGGGGGAGGGAGGGGCCGTCCGCGTCGTCGCGCGCCGCGGAGGGCAGGCCCATGCCCACGTCAAGCAGCAGCTGCTCGTCGCCCTCCGCCTGCTGCTGCTGCCGCTCCCACGCGCGCAGCCGCTCGCGCTCGCGCGCGCGCGCCTCGCGCTCCTCCCGCTCCCGCCGCAGCCGGCGCGCCTCTTGGCGCGCCGTCTCGCGCCCGGCGGCGGCGGCGGCGGCGCCGCTGCCGCCGGTTGAGTACTCGTCGCCGCCGCCCCAGCTGATCCCGGAGGATTCCCGCTCGCCCGCGCGGCCGCGGCGCTCGCGCTTCGACCGCGGCCCCGTCGACGGCCGGAGGGTCCACTCCGCCTCGTCGTCCGCCGCCGCGGCCGCGAGGCGGCTGCTGCTGCGCTGCTGCTGCTGTTGATGCTGCTGCTGCGGGCCCTGCCGGCCGGCGCCGCCGCCGCCGCCGCCGCCGGCGCGGCAGGGCGCGCCGCCGTTGCCGCCGCCGCCGCCGCCGTGCGGCGCGAGGATCGCGCCGGCGCTGGCGCTGCCGTGCTGCGGGTGCATCGGGCCGGGCC